TGTTTTTGTAGTACTTGGGATCGAAAGAACCCTCACACTGAGCCCATTTTTTATTTTTATTTTAAGATAGAGTCTCACTAAGTCATCCAGGCTGCATTCAAACTTTCAGTTCTCCTACTTCAGAGTGCTGGGATTACAGGCATGCACCACCATGCCTGGCCAAAAACTTAAAAAAAAAAAAAAATTAAGAGTAGGAGAAAATTTATTGGAAAAATGGAATAAGAGACAGGAGGGCTCCTGAATGGGTTGCAAATGAGCCCACTTCTCAAAGGAAGTTCAGGCACTGGCAAAATTAAGTATGTCGTGAATGCATAAAATCTATGTAGATAATGATCCATCATTTGCTACCATAAAATATACACAAATATATTATAAAATAAATAATCTAAGGTAAAATTTATCAGAACTTATGCACACAAACACAGACCATACATGGTACCATTTGAAGTCAATAGAAATATAACAGATGTAGAGGTGCAATATTAAATTATAACGGGGGCCTAGGACGGTACCTCAGTGTTAAAGCATGTGCTTAGTGGGAGGGAGGCTCTGGATTCAGTCTAAGCACCAAATATAAAATAAGTAAATTACTAGTGCATAAGGGTTGGGGATGCAGCTCAGTGGTAGAGTGTTGGCCTAACCCATACAAGGCCCTGGATTCAATCCCTATGATTATAAAAATAAAAAAGTTAAGTTTAAAAGATCATAACTACATAAATTCCGCAGTACACACTGCACTACTGTAATAATTTTATAGCCAGCCCCTGTTGCTATTGTGGTAAGTACTGTGACTATCTGCTTAAAATGTCCTGTGACACTAATCATCTCCACATGAGATGTTCATTTCTGCAGAAAACTATTCTAGGGGGAAAAAAAAATTTTTTGCCATAGTTCTCGGGTATTACTCACTACCTGTAGTATATATAATGCAGTAAATATGGATTAGCTGTTTATGTTATCAGTAAGACTTCCAGTCAACAGCACAATTTCAGTAGTTAATTTGAGGGGGATTCAAAAGTTAAACTTAGATTTTCAACTGCGTGAAAGAATAGTACCTCTAACCCCCATGTTGTTCAAAGGTCAACTCTATTTATAAAATATGGGTATGGTAATGTTGAAAGCCTTAGGCCAGGACTCTAGAAAATGGTGATGGATGTCAGCTGTCAGGGTGTTTTTCTGCTGGCTTAAAAGAGTAGGGAACAACTCCAAGCTGTTGTCCACCCCTGTGTGTGAACAAAATGGCACCATGGCCTTCAGTGGCACCCACCATCATGGCTGCCAGCTGTAGGACAGTGTCGGAAGGGTGTGGAGCTCCAGGGAGTGCCCCTTTTCCTGAATTTTTCTCATCTTTTCTCCAGTCCTATGTTCCATTTGGTCCATGGAAGTGTCTCATTTAGCTTACCATAGTCGGGGGTTGGGATTTCCTTAGGCCTTGAGAATTTGTGTTCACCGTGGAGAAGAGACAAAGGAGATAGGAGTCTTCTCAGAAAAATATTGGATCAAAAGGCAATGTTTGTAAAGGATAGGATTGTGTAAAGACAGCAGCAATTTTGTAGCTGCTTTTTATCCATACACTCTAGAGAAGGAGTACTTGCATAATTTCGGTTGGTGTTCATGCAATCTTAATTTTTTCTTCAGTTAAGGAGCTGAGGTGTTCTTGCATTAGTCTCAAGAGGTTTGAGAACTATCAGTTACAATATACAGTACATGCAGACTCGGTTTCCCATATGACCTGTGTTGTAATCAATTTGAAGTCTTTAAGGAGCATTATAAGCAAGTCCTTTTTAAAATGTAAGACCCAAATAAAATAAAATAAAATAAAATAAAATAAAATAAAAT